TCACTTTGTCATGTGTCATTCTATTATGTATCATTGCCACATGTCATTCTTTTAGCTACTATTTGACACATGGCACTACATAATTAATATTCTGTAGTCCGTAATAATAATTAGTCTTCATTTCTATTTGGAAAGTTAGTTCATACATTTCAATTCATTATTCATATACTCCGTTTACTCCGTATATATTATTATTATAATAATCATATTGTTCATATATATTTAGAAAACTAAGTTATTACATACGTTCCATTTCAATAATTATCACACGAAGTGTACTATAATTATTATAATAATTATTATTTTTGGAAACTTAGGATGTTTTCTTTTGGACTAAAATTTGCTGATCTGGTCTGGTCTGATATATTTCTGGTCTTTGTGTATTTTATAAGTATGAAAGTTTGATTTGGACTGGTCTGATCTGGTCTGGGACTGAAAACATTCTTAATCCTTACATATATGAAGTATACTATAAACCCCCCCAATAATTTAATTTAGTAATATACAGGTAATGATTATGAGTTTTTTTTTATGTTTCATCTTTTTCTTAATTATTTTAAATTTTTTAAAAATTACCTTTAATTTTTAGCTTAAAATTTCTATTATGGAGTATATTTTTATGTTAACTTATGCTACCTTCGTTTCAAAATCATTGACACACTTTCCTTTTTTGGACGTTTCAAAATGAATGTCGCACTTCCCATTTGATAAACAAATCTATATCAATACAATACAAAACGGTGCAAATTAGTGCAAAATAGTGTCAAAACGGTGCACTCTATAGTAAAATTTACCCTCAGTACATTTTTACTCTTTGTGAAATCCAAGTGTGTCAAAGATTTTGAAACAGGGGTAGTGTATGATTTTTTCTCATTTAATATATTAAATGAGAATGAAAAAATCTCTAAATGTAATCATATTAATGCAAGAAACAAATATCATTATACGATTAGTTCCTCTTAATAGGCATAATTGTATTCAAAATTTACATCACAGTGACTATGAAACTGGCAGAGAAATTTCTCCAAAATAATCATGTTTTGATAAATGAATCAAAGTCGTATGATTCATTGAGACCTTAAATGCTCAACTCACTAACTGTAGTATAGAACAATGCAGTATATAGCAAATCTCCGTTTATACTTTCACTATCTCTTTTTATCCATTAAACTTGATGCATACCTTTCTTGGTAACTGCTAAGTTAAATATTTAAATATGTTAAAACAAAAGTTAGACTATTTTACCATGTCGATATAGTTCACGTGAAGCTGTTCAATTTAGTTTAGAATCAAAACTTTTAAATTGAAATAAGGGTTAAACTAAATTAGTTCAATCCAGAATCAAAAGTTAAATTGAAATTGAAATGATTATACTAAATCTAAATAACTTTTATTTAATTGGGATTTCAGCCATTATAATTAATTTACAAAGGATAACTAATACTCTTTATTCTTTTAATAATTATTTCATTGAAGTCTTCTTCTCCCTAGATATATCTGTCCACTTTTTTTTAGAATATTTAGGATATTTTTAATTGAATTACTTTCAGTCTCAGACCATAACATACTAGATCAAATCATGCTAGACTTTGACAATTGTAAAATACACATAAAACAAATATATACTAGACTAGACCTGTTCAGATCAAATCAGAACAAACTAGACTTAAATAGATCAAATTAGAACAAACTTCCAGACCAATTAAAACACCCTTACATGATATTTGCATGTGAAAACACAATTTCACTCTAACATAGATCAACACAATTTTACTCAAACACAATCTTTGTAGGCTCTTTTACTAGAATTCCACTCAAAGACAAGTTATAAAATTAACACATTTTTACTAGACTCATACACAATTATTAATCGATTGTAACTATTAATCTTCTTATTTACTAATAATTTCATTATCTTCTTATTCCCTACTAATTTAATAATTACTTTTTATTATGAGCTCACTTGGAATTAATAAATACTCTGTAGTATTTAACGTACACCAAGTCAATACTTATTTAAACGTTTTTGCCATCTATATTTTCTAATGAAAAAGCATTCTTAACTAATTATCTAAACATTTTCCAGACTATATTTTATAATGAAATGAGCAATTTTTATAACTCTCAATTCCATCCAAATGAAATTAATCTTTTCAACTATCTTTACCGTCGCAATTACATCCAAATAAATGAAATTAACTACCAATCACGTTATGCAGCCGGCCTGATGCCGTAGCAAACACCTTCATTAAAATCAGAATGTCACAAAAATATATGTTCTGAAATCTTTTCTTAAAGAAGGAGATAGAAGGACTAATTTGCTCACTTCTAAATCTCGGAAGGACTAATGTCTTCAAAAAATGACAACACCCATCATTAAAATAAATACATTATAAAAATGTGTAGTTATTAGTAAACACAGTAAGCTACGAATGAAATCTAATGTATATAAATAGGCATTGAACAATTTTTTTTGTTTAGATAAAGATGGTTGTAAATACGAAGTTCATTTGGATGCAACAAGAAAAATTGGCTCTTTTAATTATATAGATTACGAACATGTTTAGATAATTAGTTAATAAATAAGACATACCCAAATACTCATATCAATCAATGTTATAATCGACAAAATAAGTGACTTTCAATTAGTCCTAATAACTCATAAATATGTTAGTGCACGCACGCACATATAGTAAAACTAAAATAAAACTGTTTTATCCCGTGCACGAAATGACTAAAGATACTAGGGGCATTTTTGCACCTTTTAGAATTTCAGATATATATGTACCTCCACATAAATTATTTTGAATGGCCACATTTTCCCTTATATATTGAAAATAAAACATATCATGCCATGTGAGGTTAATTACACGCCTTTTGTCATTAGGTGTGACATTATTGTATCTTCATCTCAAGTCGTCACATAGCTTTCATATTAGACATCAAGAAATTCGGTAGAAGAGATTCTAGCTATAGTACCAATCAAATTCTCACTCTCAATACTATCAAGATGTTTTGATCGACTAATATGGACTAAGTATACACATAAATATTTGTAATATTAATATGAGACACTAGAACTAAGAAATTTAAGGCCACAGAAAAGCGTAAGAATATTCTCATTATTTGGCATTTTTTTTAATCTTTGAGACCCTAAGAAACTTTAGTCCATATAAAACATAAAACGTTTCTTCCACTTAATATATCTGACAATAATAATGCACGTTTATATGAAAACAATTTATATTAATAAATTTATTCTTAATTTTAAAATTTTGTTGTCCCGTGCATCGCACGGGTAGAATACTAGTACATATATATAGTTAAGACTTAAGAGTTGTAGATTCGTAGGGACACGTAATGCATGTACAAACTCAACCCCGAAAGAAAAGGATGATTGTTTATTAATTCTAGGTAAAATTATGATTACCCCTTTTAGCTTGAAAATTATTAATTGGTTCAACCTTATATTTTTAAAAGCCAATTGTTTACCCCTCAAATGCCTATTTTTTTTTAAGGATGATTGTAATCTCCCCCTTCTATCAACATTTTCGTCAAATGCCTATTTTTTTTTTACTTAAATACCCTTCTTTAGAGATTATTTGTTAAATACTCTCATCTACGTATTTTTTTGGGGGAAACTGTCAAATAGGTCCTCAAACTTTCATAAAAAGGTCAATTAAGTCCTTCTATAGGAGATTCTGTCCGGTCGTCGCGATTTGGGGCAGTTCTCGGTGGAATTTTTTGATGAAATTTTTTGAGAATTTTATTCATCAAGTCTAGTTTACTCATACCAAATTTCAGCTAAAAATTCAATCGGGAACACATTCAAATTAATTCATGAACATAACTACGTATTTTTTCTTTCTCGAATTAATTTGAATGTGTTCCCGATCGAATTTTTAGCTGAAATTTGGTATGAGTAAACTAGACTTGATGAATAAGATGCTCAAAAAATTTTATCAAAAAATTCCACCGGGAACCGCTCCAAATCGTAACGGCCAGACAGAATCTCTTATAGAAGGACTTAATTGACTTTTTTATGAAAGTTCGAGGACCTATTTGACAGTTTTCCTTTTTTTTTTTAAATTAGGGGTGCGTGCGGTCAGGTCCATTCTAGTATTTTGCCGAACTCGTATCCGTATCGTGATTATTGAAACGGTTTGGTTCAATCTTAGACCTAAACCCTTTCGGTACGGTTATATTTTCAAACGGGACGGTACCATTTCATACTAATACCAAACAATGCAACTTTTATTTCCAAGTGTTTAAGTGGAAGTTAAAGTTTAGCCATCCTCCAAAAATCCACATAATTTATCAATTTTCATACTTTGTATTGCATAATTATTAAATTTCAGATAAACTGTAGTAGTACAAATTTAAACCGGTCATGGCATTGTTTAGAACCGATACGGTCTGGTTCGCGACAAAAAAATTGAGATCCGTTTCAAGTCCTGTTTTTCGGTCTGGTACCATATTGGTCCGGTTTGATACCATGTCGGTTCGGTATTTTTGTCCACCTCTACTTCAAATTCATAACCGAGTCAAATTTCCTTTGATTTATGAATGAGACTGCGACTGGGAATTGAAATTGGAGCAGAAAAGAAGAAAAAAGGAAAGGCACAAAGCACTTTCAAGTGTGCCGCGATGATGTTTGGGAAAACATTAATTTTTTGTCTGAATACTTCTGGAGTAAGCCTGTGAAACTTTCAGTTGATGTACTCTTATTTTATACTACTCCATAGTTTAGTTTAATAGATAAGGACATTTTTGGAAATTCAACTTACAATTAACGGTCCAAGCAACTTAAATTTAACGGAAAGGGGATATTCTAACTTTAATAAAAGCTTAGGGGGTAAATAATTGAGTTCTAAAAATATAAGGTTGATTTAAAGTTACTACTTACTAGTTGTTTGTTTAATTTGTTTATTTGGAAAGAGATAGTGAAGGGATAAGAAGGTATGATATCTTTGGTGGGTTGTCGATTTCAAATGCTCGAACATATGAGATTTTAATTAGCTTGGACATAAGAGATAAGCACGAGATCACTATGTATCTGATTCGTATTATAATTATGAAATAACTCTTACAATACACTCAAGAACTGGATATAGATTACGACTATTTGCTCTATCAATCGCTACAATATACTCTCTATGATACAAGGGAGAAGAGAGTAATTGCTAATTTAGCTACCCCTTTACCAAGAGTAATGAAAGGGTATTTATACTAATCAGTCAGCATTGGCCAGATGATGTGTCGCCTTCCACTTGGTCGATCCATCCCGTCACCCACCTGCTATTTATTTGATTTATATGAAATTACTCCAAAAAGGAGTAAAGTTGAGATCATTTGCAGCAATAAAAGTATTAACCTTATTTGAAGAAAAACATCATCTTTTATTTCTTTTATATACCATATTCCCCGCTTCAAAGTAGTAACAAGGAGCTGCTTCAATGTGCTTCTGGAACCCTCAGGCTCATGCTCAAGCTCACTTTCACTCTCACACTCAATAATACCTGTTTCAGTTGTGACACGTTGACAGACCGGGCACAAAGTACTAATCCTCAACCATGGAACAATGCAATCACTGTGATAAAGATGCTTGCATGGCAACTTTCTTGCATCCTCACCAACCACAAACTCTTGTTGGCAAATAGTACACTTAGTTGAGTCTATTGAATGCGATTTCAATATTTTTACTCTCGGTATGGATAGAATTACACTTTCTGGTACTCGAGTTAGTGGTATAGCGCTCCTTCCGCTGGTAGTTGGAAGATTATTATGGTTTTGTATTATTCGTTCGATGAGAGGTATCATCGGACGACCTAGATTATTGTCTATTAGTGTTAAAGGTAATGAATCGTCGAACAACGTTGACCTTCGTAGAAGGACGTCAACTTGATTTGATGGACAAACAGCAATCCTCTCAATAACATACATGGGATTGGCACACAGACCGCACCTCACATTTGCATTATAATTTGAGAGTTCATGGGTTTGGCAAAGGTCACACCACAAACAGAACTGATTGTTCAGATCTACAGAAATGAATGGGACTAGGGATTGACTGGAACATGTACGATTAACACATATTCTTTCAGAAGAAGATAAGTGGCAGAAAACAGTTTTTTTACATTGGTAGCACCAATAAGGACGCCAACCTTCATACCAGCCGCCGCCATTGGTGTTGCCGATGCAGTTATCTTCTCCCACAATAAAAAATGTATATGACGTTGATGCTGATGACATTATTTAAAGCTAAAAGATAAATATGTATATGTGTATATGTGTGTGTAACTTAACAGTAATTAAATGCATAAATAGTTAAGACCACGTAATAAACTAACACCATATATATAGGTATATATATACTCAACTTCTATCGTTGGGACATGTGATGCACAAACTTAAATGTGAAGAAAAGTATGTTTTTTTTAATTAGTCTCTTTTTGTTTAAGAATTAAGACGTACATTTATTTATTGACCCTTAGTTCTTTATGCACACGTCACTAGTTTGTTTGTTTGGGAAGAAATATATTGAAGGGATAAGATTCATAAGAAAGGTATATGTTAGATTACTTCTCTAAGGTATATGTTAGATTACTTCTCTACTACACTTTGTATTGAATTGGAATGAAGTTTCACTTCTATGTTTGAATTTATAGCGTATAACTCTTGAGAACGTACTTCTTGTTATACACACTTTTATACCCACCTTGTACCCATCATATCTATGAAGGGTTTTTTTCGGATTCACAAACAAAATAATTTGCACAGACATAATTTGTCTGTGACCGGGATTCACAGACTAAAAAATAACTTTGCACAAACATGGTGGGTACAAAAGTGAGTATAAAGATGAGTACAAACAGTTTTTTTTTGTAATTCTTTTATCATTAATTTTCACTCATCTACACACATTTAGATGATGTAGTTTTTACTTTCTTGTTTAAATTTAATTAAAGAACGGGAAAAGTAAATAAAATAGAATGCATAAATAGTGCGAAAATTAAACCGATACAATTACTAAATGATGAATGTCTATTTGATCAGATGAACATGAAACGAAAATGAAGGGAAAAGAATTAAATATTAGAGCATCTCCAATGCTACAATGTGCACGGTGTACATGTGATATTAGAGAGATAGACACAAAAAATTGAATTTATGACATTTCTCTCTCATTCTTTCCACGGTTCTATGTGTTTTTGGTAAGTTTTCCTCTGCAATGTCAAGCATAATGTCTACATCTAGACATTGTGCTTCACATTGTGAAGAAAAACTTACCAAAATGAACAAAGATCCTTCAAATAATGAGATTGCAAATTGCATGCAGATTGCAAATTTTATTTAAATGTCACCATAAAAACGACCACTAATTGTCTTATGGTATACGAAAATTGTTACTGATAAGCCAAAATGATGAAGGACGTGTCCAAAAGAAAATATGGTTGCTCAAGAAAACCTAAAAGTACTAAAAAGCAACAAAAATATCATCATGAATCCAGAGCCACCTCGCAAAGTTTAATATCCACAACATTTGTAGCAAACACGCAGACAAGTTCCTGAGTGGCATCTACATATGCACTGTTCACGTTTTAGCATTGGAGATGCTCTTACGAGTACGTACTAAAGAGCATGTAGTAATTTTTTTAAAAGATAAAAGTACCCTTTAAACTAATTGGTGCCTGCTCCGGTACCCTAATAAAATTAGGGGTACCGTACCCATCCACTAAGATTAAGACATGTGTACTATTTTTACAGCAAGGATCTATAGGGTCTGTTTTTGAGTCTTTCTCTTCTCCCCCCTAATTTGCTAATATATCGCTATATTTACTCCCTCTGTCCCGCTAAGAAGTTTCTGCTTTCCTTTTTAGCAATCCCAAAAGAAGTTCCTCTTCCCCTAAATGGAAAGTTATCCTACATCAAAACAATGCCAAACAATGCAAAACAGTGTCAAACAGTGCCAAACAGTGTTAAAACAGTAAATTTTACCCCCTGGCAAGTTTATTTCCTCAATACTACTCCCTCCGTCCCCGAAAGAAGTTCACCATTTGACTTTAACACACTTTTATGCAAGTAAACTTACCAGGGGGTAAACTTTACTGTTTTGACACTGTTTGGCACTGTTTGACACTGTTTTGCACTGTTTGGCACTGTTTTGATGTAAATAACTTTCCATTTATGGAAATGGGAACTTAAATTAGGGACATCCAAATAAGGAAAGTGGGAACTTCTTTTGGGGACGGAGGGAGTATCTATTTGTGTAAGTCAAACTAGAAACATCTTAGCGAAAACGGAGGTAGTATTTGATACCTAATTGGTATTGGTTCTTCGTTAAACCTACGTTAGTCCTTCCGTCAAACTTTATCGTTTTCATTTCTCAACTACGTTGTTTCGATCTTTTCTCTCTATCGCATTTTCGTCGGGTGTGTGATTAGGGATCCCGACAATGGATAATCAGTTGGATATGCTATTGGCGATCTTGCCGATGGTGAAAATGTTGGGATCCTTGGCTTACTCGACGATTCTGGAGACTCCAAAGTCAAGTATATACTCCTTGCCCTGCGAATTGGTGATCAAAATTGGAAGCACCATGTCAAAGATAGGTAGATGAATTTCGGTAATTGCTATATCCTCCAAAAATTATTATATGCCCTATTTGCTTATTGTTTGCCCTATTATTATTTATGTTGTGTACGCTTTTCCATTTTTAATATGAGCTTGAAAAACTATGTCTCTGTTTTGAATGAATAAAATAGCTTTCCAGATAGCCATTTAATTTATTACACTACTACGTAAGGTTTTATAAGAAACAAGTTGTAGTTGATATTTTTTTGAATGTCAAATGATTTTTTGTACTTCATGGGTCTGGATTGAGTTCAACTAGCTGTATCGTTGTCTTCTGATGCTGGCTCTAGGATAAACATTATTAGTGTTGGGATCCCTCTTTAATTAGAGAGTTTCAAGAAAATTCTAGAGCTTTCTAGAGAAGTATAGAATTTTCTAGAACGTTCCGGAGAATCCTAGAGAAGTCTAGAACTCGCTAGAAGCTTGTAGAATAGTGTGGAATTCTCTAGAATATTCTAGAGATGTGTGGAACCTTCGGGAACCTTATGGAAGAGTATGGAAGGATATAGAAGGGAATGAAAGAGTGTAGAGACTCCTAGAGTGCGTGGAGCATTCTAGAGAATCAATCCTAACCCTTGGATACAAATCATCCCCACCATTCATTGTGAAGGTGGAGTAGTATAAATAGGAGTAGAGGCCTCCATTCCTAACCATCCTAGCAAGAGTGAATCCACTTTGAGAGAGTAAGAGAGCCTCTTTGAGAGAGAAGAGAGATTGATTGGGAAGTTCCTATCCTCAAGCTTGAGTGAGCCACCATTGAGTGAGACAATTTTGTAACATTCTTGTATATCCTACTATTCTTTTGTATAGTGGAAGAATCTCCATATTGGAGAATTTAAATCGTGTGCTCCCATTATTACATTAACCCTTAAGTGCCTATCTTAAATTCACGAAGCTGGAAAGTCTGGAGTTTTTCCCAACAGTGGTATCAGAGATAGGTTCATCCGAGATCGTCATTAGCTCGTGCAGTTCAAAATGGAGGATAACGTCGCTCATGATGGAGACATGTTCAAGCTCACTGCCAACAACTATTCATATTGGAAGTCAATGATGGAAGATCATTTATACTGCAAGGATTTGCATGAGCCCATCATCTACAAAGAGAAGGTTGAAGACAAAAGTGATGCCCAGTGGGAGCTACTGAATCAGAAGGTTGTTGCTATGATTCGTAAGTATATCGACGACAAATCTCTCTTCGAGTATATTTCTACTTACACAAATGCTTATGAATAATGGACAAAGCTTGAGTCCATGATTCAAAAGAAAACACCTTGTAATAAGGTGAATTTAGTTTGACGGTTGGTGAAGTTAGAGTTTTCCCATCATTTTGCAAGGGAGCCAAAGATTCATTATTTTTTTGGCTTGAGAATATGATGAAATAAAGCAAAATGGCTCACTAAACTGTTTGCGCTTTTTTGTTTGAAGTAGCAATCAGTCCATGCAATTTTGGACGCGATTTTCACTATGAGTCATCCGGAAATAGTCTCTTTGTGCCTTAGTACAGGGGTAAAACTGCGTACATCCGACCCCTACCACACCATAGGTGGGAGCCTTTGCGGCACTGGGGTAAATGAAAACGATGATGATGATGATGATGATGATGAAAATGGTTGGTGAAGTTAGAGTATAAGGATGGTCATAGTATGATTGAACACTTGAACAATTTCAAGGGGCTCATAAATCAATTAACCAAAATTGAGATGAAGATTGACCGTCAGTGATAACCTTCTTGGCGAAGAAGCAAGGAGAATGGAACGAGGTGAGTCTATCCATCCCAAGGCTAATATTATTGAGAACTGGGGTAGGAATGAAACTCGTGGACGCAGTAAGAGCCGAGATCCATATCAATCTCGAGGTAGGTCTAAGTCATGCTCGAAATCACATGCTACTACTGTGGAAGAATGAGTCACAAGAAAATGGAGTGTCGATCCTTCAAAAGAGACCAAAAGGTCGGTAACGTCAAACCAGACCAAGTCAGCACAACGAAGAAGCAAGAAGTGAAGAGTACCACTGCCGTAGTCGCAAAAGAAGATCTGGTATATCTCATTGGAGAAGGTAACATACTAAACATTGCTTATGATGATAGCTCTTGGATTGTCGATTCTGGTGCTCCCTTCCATGTCACTTCCCATGGAAGTTTCTTCTCATCCTACCAAAGCGGTGACTGGTACGGTTCAAATGGGAAACCAAGATAGAAGCAAAATCGTTGGGATAGGAGACATCATTTTGACAACTAGCACCAGATGCAAGCTTGTTCTCAAAGATGTGAGGCATGTCTCGACCATGTGCCTCAATCTTATCTCCGCTGGAAAGTTAAATGATGCTGGTCTGATGACCTACTTTGGTGAAGGAAAGTGGAAGCTCACCAAAGGAAGTTTGGTCATGGCTCGAGGAAAGAAGGAAGGATCGTTGTATGTGGTGCAAGCTAAGCTCTGCAAAGGAGAGGTAAATATAACCACTGATGACATGGAGGTATGGCATAAATGACTTGGCCACATAAGTGAGAAGGGTCTCCACATACTTGCTCAAAAGCAACTCCTCCCAGACGTGAAAGGTAAGTCACTCGATCCTTGTGCGCATTGTTTAGCTGGGAAACAACATAGGGTTGCTTTCCAAAGATCTTCTCCACCCACAAGGAGAAAGAACATCCTCGACCTTGTACACACCAATGTGTGCTCAATGTCCGAGAAATCCATTGGTGGTGCATTGTACTTCGTGACCTTCATTGATGATCATTCAAGGAAGGTGTGGTTGCACCTATTAAAATCCAAGGATCAAGTGCTTGACGCCTTCAAGGAAGTCCACGCTCTAGTAGAATGTGAGACCTGTCGGAAGATCAAGTGTGTACGGTCAGACAATGGAGGTGAGTATAGAGGTCACTTTGAAGCCTATTTCAAGAAATATGACATTATGCTAGAGAAGACTCCACCCAAGACACCACAATTAAATGGTCTAGCAGAGAGAATGAACAAAACAATTGAAGAAAGATAAGCGTTGAATTATATCTTACACGCATGCACCGCCGCTGTTGTCTGACCAACGGGGTCGGGTTTCCAGTGCGGGTCTTGATCGGCCCGTCTGCATATGACTTAAAGATGGTTTTTCTATTTTTCGCTCCTTTATGTTTTGAATAAACTTTTGGCATAATAGACATGTCTATTCCTTTTGGAAGGTCACCACCTTTCTTTTATTAGTTGTCTTTTGGTATATAGTATCCTGGTCAAAGAACTCTATAAAATATAAATATGTCTTCTTGCCTGGGAGTTTAATATTCAAAAATAATCTCATCAACTCTATTATCTTCCTTTAATCATTTCATTAAAATGCTGAATCTTTGAGTTTGCCAGTGTTCTTCGAGAAAATAGAAACCATTCTATCATGGGAGACGATTGCTAAGCTACTTGTGTTGTGGGCAAATTCGTCTTAAGAAGTCAATGATTCATTGGGCAAATTCTATTGACTTTAAATTTATTTAATTAATGCATGTGGATTTATATAAATTTACTATAACAGATCAAACAAAGAGAAATAAGAAATTTACAGACATACCCAGTCGGTCAATCACAAGAAACTTAAATTTTGTGTAATCTCGAGTTGATTATTATTATCATTAATTTCCTGTCTCGTCCATATACTATTCTGTCTTTTTCTACAAAACATTCAAAATATATCTATACACGATAAACTGGTTACACCAATGAATGCACAACAAAACCCGGCAACCATATGAATTACTCAAATGCCCCTTGTATATACTTCGTATTAAAAATGGTACTAGTAACATACGGAGTATAACAGTAAGACTGTAAGAGCACTCCTAGTATGTTAAAGCCCAAGGGCATACCCTATATCCGGCACCTGAGCGAATTCACAATTATAACTGGTTACCTACCCTATACACATCTCTATACTATAATGAAGAGATACAATGATAGCTAGGAACATACTATTCACGCTTTTTTAGTTTCAATCTTGCTTCCACATCACCGCTGTAGGGGGCAACATGGAATGCATATTGCTGCATAAGGGAAAAGAAAACCATCTCGGCACAAATTAAGACATTTTGAATGGCTTCCTGAATATGCTCAACGTCCAGCCAGAAGTGCTGTGATTTTATAATGTCCATTGCAACCAGAATGTCAAGCAAGATCCCCTGGATATATGGCAAAGGAGTATTAATAAATAATAAGTGTGATAGTTGAGAGAAAGCATGTGCAAAATTCATGTAGTCATTATATTGGGGGAGGGGGTGAGTATCAAGCCTCTGAGGTTCAACTCTAAAAAGTCAAGCCATAGGAGTAGTCTCAAGGGCTTGATGAGGGATTTATGCCTTGGCATTAATAACAGAAAGGCTTCAGACTACCTACCTGCCAAAAGGAGAAGAAAACTATGCCCGTGATGCAGAGGAACTTGGAAAGAGGTTTGTGTGGTTGAAGGTCCTTTGAGAATAGATGATAGAAAGCAAGCAGCGAATACATTGCGACGTAAAAGGAAATGTTGAGAATTATCGTGAACGTCCAGCTCAGCCAACTTGGGTAGAACCCAAGGATCTGTAACGTTATCATCAAGATGGAACTGACAGGGCGGATTATAACAAACTGCCATGTCCAGTACTTTAGAAGCCTCAATGTATTGTGGTCCAAATGAGTAGTTCTAGGCTGCAATTTTTTCGAAAACAAAAAAACCAAGAAAAACAAGGAGCATTCTCTTAGGTATCACTGAGTAACAACCAGATGTAGGACAAATAGTTTACCAACAGTCATATTAGCCTCAAAATATGTACGGAGTATAAAAGAATAAACTTAAGATTTTCTTGTAGATGTATGCAACCGAAAATAATTTTTTTAAATAGAGGTTTCTGAGTTAGACATGGACTAAAAACAATATAGTGCATAATGCAAAGATGAAAAACAAAAAATTACTTTGCATGGACTAAAAATGTATTTAAGCCTATTAACAATGAGCAATTATCAATAAAGTTACCGTTGGTAACTTTGCAGCGACTTTTGGGTAACTACATCAGTGACATTTTTTGTTTGAAAAGTAAAAATTAACATTTTCCCCAAATGTTTAAATAAAAAATCTCAGAAAACAAACCAAATATTGAATATAAAAAATCTCAGAAAACAAACCACTTTAATAACTGCTCCATTGATGTTACCGGATAAGCATAATCACACCTGAAATAAAGTCATTGGGAAAGAATGGTGTATCTCCCTCCCTTTGATCTCATCTGGCACTATGTTTTTGCTTATGGATATGTTCAAGTAGCTATACATTAATGCCAAAAACATAGCAATTGCCTGGAAATTCAGATAAAAAATAGAACAAAAATGAAGTTCAATTTGGGATTCATTAAGAAGAGAAACATTGACAATGTAAGGGACAGCCAGACAGGGGACCAACTTACAAGAGCCTCATAGCATTCCTTAATTGAGTCAAGGAACATGAAAAATTCTTTGCTTCCCTTATGATCCAACAATCCAACAAATGAGTTAAGTGCATAAATTGGGGCCATAAGTATGATTATTATAATAGCTTTCTGCTGCTTAGGGTTCTTCCAGTAAAAAAGGTGTTGGGACAAGAGCTGAAGTGTCAAATGCATAGTAAGCATTGTACACATCCCAGATCCAACCATGGTCAGTTCCCCCCTACTCATCTTAGTGAAATCCATTCTCCTCACAAAGCCAGACCAAAACCTGCAAATTGTTTACATACCGGAAAACTGAAAAGTCAAAACCACTTTATAAGGAATCATATAGAATGGCCAGGCAGGCCAGCTCTGATTTTACATCAAACAGTTTAGCTACAAGCACATATAAACCAACATGATGACCAGGTTTTAGGACTTCACAAAATCTTGATTAAAGGTAAGCTTCACTCTTTTTATTGGTTAAATTCTCCGGCATAAGAATAAAATAAATTGCTGGTAAATCTAAGGAAAGAATACTAATTCAAAATCACCTGAGAGGCTCAGATACAATTCGCTGACTTCTATGGCCCCAGAGATGCCGCAGTTTAGCAGGTTACAGTTTAAGCCGTGTATTCGGACCATCAAAGGTCGAAACTTTCAGATGCTGTGCAGCCAGGTCAACTGCGAGTAGTGCAATATTTGAGTTCAACTAGAAGAATTTTTATCTACCCGACTAGTAACTCCTTAAAATAGTAACTCCGTCCTGTTTCACACAATTAGGCCATTTGAAGTGGTATAATATTAGGAGTCCAAAATATTAAAGATAGAATTGTGAACTCCTAATTTCACGTATTGGTAGGTTAAATAGAGTATTAAAAATGGAAGTGGGGATGGAGGGTGTTAGAAATAGAGGGTGGGTTGGTAGGAGTGGAAAAAAGAAAAAGAAAAGAAATAAGGAAGGGATGTGAGGATGATGTCATCCATGCATCATTCTAATCCAAATTTTTTTAAAACTCTTATAACATTTTTATTTGTTCTCCAGATTTTTCAAAAGATATATCAAAATTTATGAATTTTTATTATCTTTTATATGACACTAACATGTAATATATAAAATGAAAAAAAAATCTTATGTTTTAACTATTGGAATTTTCTTGAGTCTGAAAAAACACAAGATACAAATTTTTAATTCATGAAACCTCTACACATAACTGAATATTCCATAATAAAACTTTACTTGGACTAAATTCATTTTTTGTTAACCGAAAAACGTAAAAAAAAATTAATGAAATTTATTTATTTTTACATCGAAATATGTATTTTTTATTTCATACGGTAATTATTTAGGGAAAAAAGTAAATTGAAAATATTACTTATGATGATTTAACTAATGTTTTACTAAATTGATATGTGAAAAAATATGTTGAATGTATTTTATTGACGGTGCTGGGTTGCAAGGAATAGGAGTCTAAACACTATTTTCATATGGACGGAGTCCATTTTTAACTTTTTAGCCTCCTAACCACTATTAATGGTCTTAGGGGTGGGAAAAACCGACCCAAAACCCGATAACCAAATCGACCCAACCCGATCTATGATATTGGTCCGGGTTTTATACTAAAAATGACCGGTCAGGGTTAAAATACCTGGACTGAAAAAAAATGTCGGGTTCTAAAAATGTAAGCCCAACCTGGACTGAAAAAAACCCGATTTAATTAAGAGACTAAAAAATATACATTTTACATAAAATATGTATGACATATAAATACATCATAGGATTTTTTACATATGATACATATGGATTATTTTGTACTACCTCAGTCCCAAATTGATATGCAAAATTGGCTTTGTTTAGTCTAACAATTTCATTTTATTCACTTAGTTAGGATGTTAAATCTTAATTAAATTTAATTTGGAGTTTGCAACTTTGAAGAGGTTTTAATGTACTTTTTGAATATGTAAATTTTAATTAATAAAAATTGAATTAAGTATCAATATGAAGGATTTAACTTTAAAATTGGTTGATAAAAAAACCTTAACTTTGTTAATCAATTTGGGACGGAGGGAGTATTACTTTCCTTTCAAACCAGTCGTTCTTCTACAACATATTCTATCGTGTGATTGTTAGATTCAAAATATAGTGCTTTGGTTTTAATATACTATGTATTTTTTTATTAGAAGTTCGAATATTTGCAATTTTTGTTGTGATTATATTTCAATTGTTCTTAGATATCTTGGTTTGATTTTTCCCGGGTTCAACCCAACCCACCCCGGACCCAACCCGAACCCGAGGCTCTTAAATCCCGGACCAACCCGAAACCATTGGTCCTCCGATTGGGTCCAAAAATGCAGAACCCGAAACTTTTCGGGTTTTTAGCGGTCCTAGCTAAAAACCGACCCAACCCGACCCGATTACAACTTTTAAGAAAAAGTGGAATTGTGTGGTTGGTATTGAATTGCTAAAATGTGAATAAAGTAAGAATGAATAGTAACCACTCAAATATTACCAAATATGGCACGAGACAAACTTAATGGGACAGACGAAAAAGGTAAAACTGAACAAAGTTAGGGGGACGGAAGGAGTACTACCTCCGTCACACTAATAGGACGTTTGTTAAGGTGTAAAGTAATCATTTTATATGCAAAGTGTAGGGATGCAGACAATTTACACTGTATGGTATGATTATTTAATGTAAAGTGTAGGGTACTATTTTAAAACATTTTATACTGTACCATGTAAAACACTTTAAGTGAGGGAGAGTGGTAAAATACTTTATATTCTTAATACTTCCTCCGTTCGGAATTAATTGCAACATTGCAATGGGCACGGATCTTAAGAAATTTAGATAAAGTGTTTTTCTTCCTATTTTGACCCTCCTCTCATGTTTAAGGCTCTCAACCACGTGCACCACATAAACTTTCTGACAATCAAACTCATCATCTTCTTGTTTCAACTTTGCCATGGATTCCTATATTATAGTTTCAGGTTCTTATATTTTCCTTCATCTTCTTCCTAAATTTGCACTACACCTTTGATGATTTCAGAAGCTATAAATCTTCATATCTCGGTCTCGATATATTTTCTCTTCGAGTCTAAATTCTCCTTATCTCCTATAACCTTGTTAGTGATTTAATTATTCTTCATGTCTTGATCTATCAAAGGTGGGAGCTCCTCCGAAAACAAATGTTTTAAATTTTGTTAACTGGTCATATGTTACAAGGAGCAATGGAGCAAGCAAAAAATGTAATTTCCATTCGGGTTTGTTGGTTGAGCTCCGATATAAAGAAACAAAAAGTGACCAAGAAGATGGGTAGAGAAAAGAAGTGAAAAAGAAGTGAAAGAAGAAAAAACGGAGATGGTGGAGTTGAAAGAGACTCACCTTATGGAATGGAGATTGAGAAGGGAAAGTAGGAGAGAGATGAAAGGGTGGGCAAGAGGTGGAAACGCAGGCTGGGGAATTGGGACGGAGCAGGTGGGAGTATTATTTGGGGTTAAATAAGTTAGAGGGTATAAAAGTTATTTCACTTGTCTATTGTTACTAAATTTAGTAATGTTGCAATTATTTTGAAACTCTCAAAAGAGGAAAGTGTCTCAATTATTTAAGAATAAGTATAAAATTTATCAAATCAAAATTACACAGTGCAGCACCAGCCGTTCTTCAGATTTCCGTTCACCAAGATTCTTCTCAAGAGCTGCACGGGTTCTTCTACTTATTTCGATCAACATAGTTTAGGAATTATACCACTCATAAATCTGGATTTCAGGCATATTAATTTGTCATTCGGAAGCCTTGTTTTATGGCATGTTAAGTACTCTATCAATTATCAATATTTTTTTTTTGTGAAATTCTATTTTCTGTAATTATGATCAATTAGCACGGTGAGTTATTCTAATAGCACGGTGAGTACTATCAATTGGTTTAGGAGTTCTATGATCAACTAGTTTAGGAGTTATTCTATCAACTATCAATTATGGCATGTGAGCATGCCAATTATCAATTAGTCTTGCACCGGATTGGAGTACTATTTTCTTGGCTTAATTAACAGGATGAGTTATTCTATAATGATTTAAACTCACATAGTTTTTTCTGCTTTAGGAAAATCTTTCTTCTTCTTGGATCAAATCAGATGTTCTTCTACAAGTGGCTCAACACCCAATGCCTGTATCTTTTTGCTTGTTTGTTGCAGATAAGGTTCCAGATTGATGTCAAGAAGTTGACATATTTCATCTGTGAATTTAACACTACCAGTAGAATGTGGTTTCATCTTTCCATGCACCGTGAATATTTGTACTTGATTTATTTAGTTTAAAGGTTTTACCAGAGAGTTTTGCATTGTATCTCTACAATATAATAAGCCTGAATGAAGGTTAGGGGTATTGTGGGTATAAAAAATTTGTTGGTGGTATTCTAAGCTTACTTGATATGTACATGATGTTTAAAAGCTTGTAAACTTTCAATTAACTTGGCTTAATCTCCCTAAACCCCGTTTGTTCCCGTTAATATTCCAAGGCCCAGCACAGCTTCGCTCCTCGCTTCTTCTTTTGCCCGCACATCCCACTCGCATCCTTTCATCTTCTTCTGCGTTTATCTGTAAGTTTTTTTTGTTGCTTCAATCGTTCATTACTCTGCCATTTATGAACCTATTTAATTTCAGCACATCGATCCTTCTCCTCTCTAGAAGGTTGTTAGGGAAATCCAATGGACACGGTCATCTTCACTCCTCTCCCCTAGCCGTATAAATTCATGTTCTTCCTCTGGCAGACGACTTTTCCCGCAACCTCACACATCTCCAGGTGCGTCTTCTTCCTTGTTTGTTCTTGTTTCCCCCCTTTTTCACGGGTTGCAGAAACACACCGATATATATAGATATATATCCGCTCATGGCTCATTCAATTTAGTTGGTGTCCGTACTACACTGCCGGTCTGGGAGCATATTTCTTTGGTCGTTGTTATCTAGCCATTGACATGCTTACTTAGAACGAAGATGTGGTTAGTTCTGTACTGCCACGGTTGCACTATTAAATTCTGTCAATCAAGAGTTTGTGTGTGCACTTAATTTAGGAGGCAAACTAAAATTTATTTACTGCACCCTAGATGCTTGTGAATATGTCTAAGTGCTGTTTTAGACTCTTTTGTGTTCACTCTGCTGATTCATGAATAATGTACAGATTTCTTATAAAGTTATGAAGCCTTTTGGAGTTGGTAGATAATAGTGTGAAAGTCCCTTTAAGTTGATATATGGTTCATACTCCAGAATTAGAAGGTTGCAACATAAGAGGACTTCTTTTGGATTTTTGGCATTGATTGCTGTGAAGAACTAGCAATTCGCTGTTGTAGTAGACGTCAAACCCATATAACTCGTGTTTTTTTGCTTTGCAGGATAAGTGCAGTTTGGTCTGTCATTATATTTCTTCAGATGCTTTTACCGCTTTCCTTTATTTTCCTTACAAATAATATATTTATACCCCACAACTACAATAACAACTTTGGTTTTGAAAGTTAATATGCTAAACTATTTTTATACTATAATCAATGACCTCTAATTTTGTGTTGGACTTATATACAGTATGCGGTGTATGTGATGCATGACCAATCCTTATGACACACAGACATATATTTTTCTTGGAGAAATTAATGCATGACGTACATATTTAGATATGCTATTTTCCAAATGAATCTAATGTTTCTTGGGTAGATGAGTATGTTTCTTAGGTGAACACTGTACATTAATAGAA